TGCTTACACAATAAAGCCAATAAAGCCACAGACCATGGGAACCCAAGGGAAGAATGAGTGTTTATCACTAATGGTAAGGAACCAACAGTATACTGAGTGAAAGATCTTGACACTATAACTTTGTAAAATCTAGCATGATTCTTTACAGGGTCAGGACTTCCCACCTGGGAGTTTCTCACCTCTCCCTTAAACTGTTGGTTTTTACTACAACTGCTCATTAGAAAGCTGGAGGTAATTGTACCCATTATACCTGCCCATTCATCTGTATTAAAACTTCTCAAGCAACACTCAAAAGTGGTGGAGATCTTGCGTCAGGTACTATAGTTTTGTAGAGAGGGTATACATCAATGAAAAAAAGTGAAAACTTACAGATTTGGTGGTAATCTTACACATCATAATCTGTATCTTTCTGGCATTTGCAAATGCCTTTGTCTTCTTAGACATGGAAATTAATCAGTTATGTCAAAAGCATATCATGTTCTCAGTGACAGAAACAGTAAAATATTCTTTATGTAATATGAACAGAATGTCACTAAACAATTGCTTAGATTGTGAAAAAATGTGATCTGCATTCAGAGAAGTTAAATCTAAATGGACCACTTAAAACCTGTGTAATCTAGATTACCTATTAGTTGAATAACTCTGAATGTAGACTCATGAATGGGAAATTCAGCTTGCAAGGCTGTGTTAAAGATGAATACAAAAAATTTAGTTTATCAAGAATTAAAATTACATTTGTACTGCATTTGCAGTGCATTGCTAAACCAAAAGTTACATTCTGATTATATGTGTGACCATAAATGCTGTAATTTCACATTTTGATTTTAATACTTCCTGAATTTCTTAATTCTTTAATTCCTTCCAGATCAAGAATGACTAATTAATTCAAAAAACCATAACGGCTAATCGTTGGTTAAATAAATTTAAAAGAAGAATATCTGTCCCTGGAGATACCATTGTTCATTTTAATTAAAATTACAATTTCGTGATGTAATGTAAATAAGGGGTTTTGTATCCTTCTGCTCCAATAACATATTACCTCTTCTATCTATTCTTAGGAGTTTGTCAGGGTTTAAACTACCAAGACTATTTGTGGCATGTGAGGTAATTTTAGTGAATTGGGCTTTTTTATTCATTTTAACATATAGCCTGCATTATTTTATGAATGAAGCACCATATGCCTAAAATGGTGGTGGACAAAAATTGTTATCTTAAATGAGCAATGTCATCTATGCTGTAGCTTTCAAAAAAAAAAGCTTCATAAACATTCATGGGCAACTAATAGAGTGCACTCTTCAATACTGTTATTTTCTTTAAACATAGAAATAAACATAGGTGAAATCATATTATTTTTAGGAGCCAATCCTCCAACAACCAATGTGGTTGTTTACCACAGACCTTACAGGAATGGCAAACCCTATTAACATGGAGATAAAATAAACAGATAATTATTTCTCACATTATGAGCAGAGCAGCCAAGTTCTTAATGGAAAATTAGTTATACAGATAAATAAGAAAACACAGAATTTTACTAAACTTTAAAAATTATATATGTGCTGCATGTATCTCAGTAGATACCAAACACAAAATTAGGCTGCTGCCAGAGAAGACTTGGCAGCATCTGTATTTTTCTAAAACAAAGTATCTAGCTCAGATTAGCTATCACTGTAAAAATCCTTATGAGGACAACACATTACGGTCTTCATCTCAAGTCAATGTCAACAATGCTGGGAACAGAAGCATAAATTCACCGGGCTAAGGACTATCTTGACCCTCTCTCCATTCGGATTTTGTAAATAATGCATCTGAACTTCAAATGCTGCTGCAAAATCACCTCTCTTGGAGCAGCAGAATCATAGTTAAAAATATAGACTTCATTTCTGATAAATATGTTATTACTACTTTAATACTTTAAAGTATTACCTACGAAAGTACATTGAAACTTCCAGCTCAGGCATGTCGTAAATCACTATAACACATGAGAAAACACTTATAACAAAAATGCCTCTTGAGACAGTGGCGTTTCAAGGGATGAGAATGGGGGTGAAAAAAGCTGCAATGACCAGGTTTGGCAATTTCGGCATAAATAAAATTACCGTGTGAACAGAACTGAAGTCAAAAGTATGCTTAGCCAAAGCTGCATGCTTGGTTTTTGTCTGGCCCACAACCTGAACCAGATAAGCTTGTTATGCAAATGATGTTAGCCATCAGGAAGGAGGTTGATAATGAAATTATTCGAAAGCTAACCACTCATCACAAGGGTGACAGAAACATCAGGCAAGGTCCTAACATATGGATAAAAGGCAATATGGAATTTATACAATAACTGCTTTTAATTCATCATAACTAAGCTGTCACAAGATGGGCATCACCAAATGCATAACTAAGGCATATAAATGAGCCAATTATCAGTAATGGCTAAAAGGTTTGCAGCTGTATGGTCCAGTTTCATTATTTAATTTTTTCTACTAATGTAAATCCAAGCCTCCATGAAAACATCTTATAACCTCTGCATCATAACAACTTTACTAAGACATGCCCGAGAATGAAGCAATGTCACAGGGAATTACATTTCAATGTTCTCTTAACGGTAGCTAAGAAAGCAGTGTATTTATTACAACTGTTGCATTTCCCCAAGTTAAGAGACCACATATGAGCATACTTCCTTACCTCATTGTGCATATTACTGTAAAAATGAAAAGCAAGGTTTGAGAACCCACAGATGTTGCTGATGAGAGGAAGTAATTGAGCAAAAGTAATGAAAAAAATCAATGTGATTAAAAATATACAATTTGAAGATATCAAAAAACCAAAAGGGCAAGATTAAAAACAAGTATAGCTGTAAAGTACTAATGTCTGACTTCTTCTATGAACAGGATACGCTGAACTGAAGAAATGTTAAACATAGATGAAATGAAAATGTTAAATGCTAAATGAAAGATGAAGTTCTTTGTATTGTTTTCAAGCTCAGTAGGGACATCTAGAATGGAAGATACCAAGAAAGAAAAACCTGTATAACTGCGGTGGGTTGACCCTGGCTGAATGCCGGGTGCCCACCAAGCTGCTCTATCACTCCCCTCCTCAGCTGGACAGGGCAGAGAAAATACAATGAAAGGCTCACAGTTCGAGCCAAGGACAGGGAGAGATCATTCAGCAATTACCGTCATGGGCACAACAGACTCAGCTTGGGGAAAAAATAATTTAATTTATCAACAATCAAATCAGAATAAAAAGAAACTAAATCTTAAAACACCTTCCTCCCACCTCTCCCTTCTTCCTGGGCTCAAATTCACTCCTGCTTTTCTCTACATCCTCCCCACCAACAGCGCAGGGGGACGGGGAATGGGGGTTGTGGTCAGTTCACCCCACACCTTGTCTCTGCTGCTGCTTCCTCCTTAGGGGAGGACTCCTCACACCTTGCCCCTGCTCCAGCATGGGGTCCTTCCCACAGGAGACAGTTCTCCACAAACTTCTCCAATGTGAGTCCTTCCCACAGGCTGCAGTTCTTTACTAACTGCTCCAGCATGGACTTCCCACGCTGTTCCATCAGACAGAGGGGAAACTTCTGGCAGCTTTTCAGAGAAGCCACCTCTGTAGCCCCCTGCTACCAAAACCTTGCCATGCAAACCCAATAAAATAACAGTGCTGAAGGTTAAAGTACAATGTTTCTGAGAAAGGAATATAAACTTATTTACCAGGTGTACTGACTCTATAAAGCACAGGTGGAATATAACCCACCAGTGCTAGAATCCCCCAGCATATAGGCTACAGTCCACAAATACTGTAAAAACAATGTTTCTCTATGATAGGATGGAATTCCTCTACCATCCAGTGATTCTGCCATAGTTCACAATGTTACCTGCTGTGTAAACAAGGACATGCATTATGGAGAAACAGAACTTGGGTCAATCTGCTCTAGAGGAATGTACTTCTACCACCCACACTGGAAGAGATTCTGAGTTACACTGCAGTCATGGCGGTAATGGCCTTCCTCTGTAGGCCAACCATTACAGAGTACCTCACCTTCCTGCCTGGTTGAAGATTAGCATAATAAATAAGCATATATTTCATGGATTATTGATAAAATTTGCATTGGTCTTTCTAATTTTAACTTCTAAAATGGGAAGACACTACTACACAACTGACTGACAAAGGCATCAAGTAGGGACACTGTACTCCTACACCAGTAACTAGATACATTAAGGAACAGAACAGATTAAAAATGTAGATGCGCATATTTTCAAACCTATCTTGAAAAGGCAATCCTGAGGAACATTGTTCGAAATATTTGGTTGTTTGAACAGTGTAAACTTCCCAAGGGTTTGATAACATTATTCCCCATGTTACATAGTTTAGGCTGTGATAGATCACAATGAAATTCTGAAGAACCCTAAAAATCAGTCATTAAAGTTGCTGTAATTTTTTGCATATAATGCTAGTAACTACTAATGATTTCTTAGTTTCACTGTAAAACGAAAAAAGTAAAGGAATAGCATAGTTTTGTTCAGTGACAGCCACATCCCGAAAGTTGGTACCATCTAGGTAACATATTACACTCTTGGTACAACTGGTGCTCAATTACATATATTGAGAATACAACCTACTGAATATTAGGAAGTGGAAAAAGCAACTATTTGCTTTCTTGTGTTCCAAATTCTTATTTTAAATTGACCAGCAGTCATTTTCACTAACCCTTTTTTCTCCTTGACACATAATTTCTCTGCAAAACCATCAAGGAAATCAGGTATATTTATAAACCTGTTCTGGGTCCAAAGTCAAGAAGAAAGTCAATTACCTTGTTCAGAGAATCTGTGAAGGAAATTACATGAGAAGATCAAACTGTGCTGTATAGCTTTCAAAAAGTGAAGCATGGTCTAGTGTCTGTGAAAACTGAAGCTAAAAACCTGTAAAAGCAACAACTCCATAAAACAAATTCTTTTTTCAGATTGACACATGGAGGCCTTGCCAAATAAACTGTTTAAAAAGAAAAGAAAACTCACTGTGAAATGAAATGGTTGAATCCTCTGCACCATATTTCAGGTTGTAGCAAAGTAGGAGGAGGATTTCTGAAAAAATACGAAGTTTCGGGGTTTAGTTCCAGTACACATTAAGATTTTATCTCACAGACAGTCAACAATGATCATACTAGTTCCACTAGGGAGAAAATTATGATTGAGAAAGTAATGCTCAAATTGCCTGTCTGTCCCCTTCAGATGCCTGTTGGGTTCTTCTTGTTGCTGCTTATCCACTGACAGTTCTCTTTCATGTCCTCCTTCTTTTGTGTCAATGCCTTTGAAGTTGGTAGTCAGAATAGCTCACAGTGCACTTTCCGACATTTCCCTTGCAATTCAGCCTGACTCAGGAAGGATCAACTGAAACTGGAATATTAACCTAGCCATCACACCACTACAGCCCTTCACCACAGATCACTGACTCTGACCAAAACTTCTTTAAGTATGGGTGACTTCATCATAAGAACTTCCAAACTGTCAACAACCTGTAGGATTTACAATCTGGATTTTGGTGTGTATTCAGTTTGATGGTACTGTAAACTCTGAAACTATTAAAAATAGATATTATTTTTAAAGTGACATTTAGCAGACATAGGTTCCATGTTAGTTGGCATAGAGTTAGTTTCCTTTCTGATTGTTACAGTTAAATTACATAAACATACAGAGCAAGGTCTATAGGCCATATTGAGTGAACCAAATTTTAAGTGACTCAAAATTAAGTGGACTAACTGATAGCAGGAAGTGTTCAGAAATCACGTATTATACTATGTTAACTTCCAGAGGTTTCCTCTGCAATTTAAGATTTGATAAGTACTGAATTCTATTTAACTTTTTAAGATGAAACTTGTGTTTTATGAAAACTTAATGATTTGTCTTTTGCTGCATTTGAGGGCTCAGTGCAAAGGGCCTACATATTACTGAACTGGCAGGAAAAAAACAGACTGTTTATTTTAAATGACAATAATGTTTTGGGTTTGACTTCCATGTACAAGGCTCATATGTTCATGCATATCACAGAATCTCACTTTTCACAAGCATAAATAAAAAAGTATTTATAGAGAAACTCCCAGAAAACAAACAAACAAACACAAAAAAAACCACATGTAAAGGGTTTCTTATAAAGGTAAACCTTATAAACCTCTTTCTCTGTAATGAAAACGGTTATCAGTCCACACATCCCACATGCACAAACCCTGCAAACACCTTTAAGGGACAGCCAGCTAGGGTTAGTATATTTTTTACTCTCTATTTTGCAGGAATGGTGACAATTTTGATTCTGATAAGACCAACATTTATTGTACTGTGAAGTATAGTGTATTTCTTTTTAGAATAATACCAGCAGTATTTAGTGAATATTTGCTGGGAAATTTTGAATTTCACTGTAAAGTAATTTGCTTTTTCAAAAGCTCAGTTACTATTAATGAAATTGTTTTTTTCTGTTCACAGTGTTCTTAAAGTTTTTCCATGGTGGTAACAACAGTGTTTACAGAAAGCATATAGTTTGGAGGCTCTATTTATAGTGTCACAAGGAACTTCTAAAAAGACACAGAGATTCTTACATTAGTTGCAGACGTTATGATGGAAACAGGTGGAAAAACAGACCAGCAGAGCAGATGTCATTTAGCCATTTGTGGGTTAATGATCAATGGAGAAAGTCACATTTTTAATCACACAGAACACATTTTATGCAACAAATTACTAAACAACTAAGCTCTCACTGGTAGCTACTCTCTTAGAGATGGCTGAGTATGCCATGTACCAAATCAACACAACCAGGGAACCTGTAATCTACAGAAGTTTTCTTGAGCTTGATGCTTTTGTATTTGCTGTCAGAGGTTACTATGTTATTCTTAGTTCCTTTGTAGTAAAACCACAGAACTAGTGGTCCTCTGTGCTGAAGTCACTAAACTGATGCTTCAGTTATGCCACCTATAAAATTGAGCTGATAAACATGACCAGAACTTTAATTCTTTAGCATCTGCAAAGTACATTGGTTCCCTTTGATGAAAGATGTTACTTAAGTTAAAAGTCATCTCACCCATTTCTGGCATCATGTCAATAAAGGATTTCCAGAAAGGGATGTAAGAGGGTCAGCTTCCTACCTTCCCTACATGTAAGACACCACAAACTCTTTCATAGTGACAGCTGAAAACACTATTGCTTCCATGGTACCTCCAGAGGTGGATTTATGCAGTAAGGACTCATAACTGAGTAACACAAGCCAGATATGCAACAATAACATACTTTAAGCTTTTTTTTGTGAGCACACTGTCTTTTGCAGTCTGAAATTAATAATCCATTAAGATACCTGCAATTCATATCATATTAAAGAGAACAGCTAAAACACATCACATACATTATAGGAGGCTAAACCAGAGAGAAGCAACACTTGTCTCACCACTTCAGCTCAAAGATCAGATGAGGCCCATTTGCGATTCCAAACTATATTAAATCCAACACATAGAGTTCTATGACTTTTGTATGCTTGCATCAGCCAACATCACTGCATTTCACCAACATCTGGCTGTTTCTACAGTACTCAGAACACATTCACAGAAAAACTAAAAAGCTACCTCTTGTTAACTTGCTGACATAGCCTATTCCACCCTTTTCATATAAAATTAGAATGCTCTGCTTGCAACCTCTCAATCATCTTTGCCCTAGATAGAAGCAGCTGAAGGACAATATAGTCTTATTTTCTACTCTAAGTGGTGGAAACTGTGAGAAGTAGATATGAATATTATTGCAAAAAGCGGGTATAACTGGCTTGCCTTTTGAAAATGTCCTCTTTTGATGAGAGATGAGTAATCAACCATTTATTTCCCAACTTCGTGTCTTTTTTCCTTTCTCTAATTCATAATTAGTCACAGAACTACATGCTCTGTTTCCTTAGGCAGATGCCTTGCTCACGAGGAGTTTTTCCACGCTTTCCATGGTCCTACTGACTCTGTTTTTCACTGGGAGTTTTGATGCAGTGAGGACTGCGGGACTGAGCCTGTACAAGACACCCCATACAGAAGCACAATGTTCCTTAGCACATGAAGACATTTGCAAGCTTATCAAGCAAGAACTGTTGCTGAATTCTGAATGACACACACACAGTTATGTGCTGGAAATACTTTAATCTGTCGAGCTTTATGTGTTCCCTGTCATTCAGCCTGCCTCCAAAGTCACAGCTGGTAAAACAAAACTGGTCGTTTTACCACAATAAGGCCAATGATGCAGCTCAGCGAGCACCATTCATCCTTTATGTTAAACTGTGAGCCTAATTACAGATTGCAGACAATAGATATTTGTTGGCAACAAGAAAACATATTTTCATCATAAAATACTTCTGTGACAATATAAGATTGAAAATGTATCTACTGTATTTCTTTTAACTATTTCAGTAAACATAACCATGCATTTTGTAAACAGAAATCAAAACAGGGCCTCCAATGACCAAACTGCATCATCAACCTACCACGTTGTTTCTAATGAGAAATGAGCAGATGAACATCCAACACCTGTCCCCATGAACAGGCTCTGGCAATCACAGCCCTGCACATGCATGTTGTGAATTATTTTTCTTTCAGACTGAGTAGACAATATTTTTGTTGACAGTTGTCGAGGTTTATACCTAGAAAGTTTTTACATGAAATTAAACTATTCATGCGTATTTCAAAAAAATGAGTGAAACAGCCATAAAAAATCCACAGTCAACCATGCATAATAATGAGATTTACCTACAAAAGCTTACATAAACTGAACAGTTACTGTTAAAATACATGAAAAATTGACATTAATTAATATCCGACAAATTCTCATACAAGTTGAAAGTCCTGCCACTCCAGAGCATCCCCATCTTGGGTAATCCAAAAATAACCAGGCAATTCTCAACAGGGTTCAGAGGATTTCCTAATGTACTTGGTTTGTGGCCCATTCAAATCAGTAAGAGGTTTCCACTGATGTGAATGAAGAACTCAGATCCTAAACAATCTCCCATTCGTCTGTCTCCTATTGAAGGCTATGTAAGTTTGACTGACTTCCAGTAATATATTTTGCCAAAGTCCACTCCTCAGGAAGCAGGGTATTGTATTCAGCTCTGTAAGGTAAAGATAGAAACTGCAGAGTTTAGATGCCTGCAGGAGTGGAGAGTCAGGACAAAACCCTCTGTGCATATGAAGGCAGACCTTTGATGTTTTTAGGTCATTGAAAAGCTGTCACCAATCTGAATGCTGCTGCATGAAGACTCCATGGTTGGAAACTATAGCAGCACATTGCCTCAAGAAACCAGAAGGTCAGAAAGAATACAGGATCTACAACACAATTGGAAGCAATGGAAGAAGCATGGGAATTGGGCAAATGTCTAAAGCAATTGTCTACCCACTGATTTCATCTCATGGGCTCCAAAGGCAATTGAACATCCTTTCCACAAAATGCCTAGAATTTTGCAACTCTTAACCACACTGGACAACAATAACCCTTAAATCTTCTTAGCCAGATCTATAAGCAAGGCTTTCCCACACCTGTCAAGCCTACAAGGCATGAACTGTATGTTGAGACCATATATGCCAAATACAGCATATGAAACAGCTGGTAAAGGCGGTCACTCCTCACATCATCACTATCTACTTAGGGCTCAGCAGTTACATAAACCTTCCTTGGGCAAGGGAATAGTACACTAACTGTAGAATTAGGGGGAAAAATTACCCTCATTCTGTGAGAGCAAATTGTTCAGTACAACCTAGAAAAGATTCGAGGGGAAGGGTGAGTATGCTCCTGCCAAATTCACTCTCCAGACACCTTTTCATTTGCAACTGATTCACTTCTAAATAGTTTCTCCTCTTCCACTACCTCTTCTTCTCTGCAAGGACTGTTTTCCTTGTGTAAATATCTAGTTCAAAACTGTTAACAGACAATTCCAAGTTCTTATCTTCTAGAATACCAAAGTCATATATCTATCCAAATATTGCATAAGTACCTTAATCCTAACAAGGGTATGCTGCTTCAAATATACTGATCTAGTACAATACAAATTGGATATGGTTTCACTCTTTCTCAGAAGAGAAAGG